TTATATATTAATTATGACTACTTGCCATAAACCGCATGTAGCATGTTCTGATAGCTCAGATACACCCATCAGAACATACTACCATCACTCTTTAACCTGTTTACATTGCTTAACTCTGTTTTGTTTACACTTCACAGCTTCAATTATGGAAAAAAAAATACTGAAGCACCAGGCAGACAGGTATTGTGGCAGCAGCGAAATAACACGAGGAGACACGGATTTGCACAAAGATTCTCTATATGATACTACAAGCAACAATAGAACAGAGATGAACATGGCAGACAAACGGGGGGAGGTTAGACACCAGGCGGGAAAGCTGACACACGATAGGTCATTACACAACACTAGAGCACATCAGGATTACACGTATAACACAGTTAAGGGTACACGTGATATTCAGAATCCCAAATGTTCACGCAAACAAATATATACAGCTACTTACAACAGGACATATATAAGGGCTATATACACGGCCCATGAGCATGCTGGGATATGCTAGTCTCACCGGTGCTCCAATACTTTTTCTATATTAACTATATTAAAATATTAGGGCTGTCAAAATTAACGGGTTAACATGGATTAATCCATCATCATGATTAATTTGATTAAAATTTTTAATGCAATAAACCTATCTGCAGTGCAGAATGACTCAAAATCCCTGAAATGTCTCTGTCAACCCATTTCGGGTAGTTTTGGTGCGTTCCATTTCCGAGTCGGATTCTGAGTTTTGAAGCTGGAACTGACGACATGCAGGCTCGCGTTTCTCAGAGATCCGAGAAATATCTCGGAGCATCACAGAGGATCCCGAGTTCAGAATCCAAGATGGCTGCGCCCTTTATCAACAGAAGGGAAAGTTGTAGTTTTATACTGTTTAAGCACTACTTCTCATTTGTGGCTCATTAAATCAGTCGCACATGCTATACTGTCCAACTGGATAACTGGATAAGCATGGCACACTCACACACCATTCACTCACACGTGCACACCTAAGGGCAATTTAGCAACTCCAATTAGCCTCTGCATATCTTTGGACTGTGGGGGGAATCCAGAGTACCTGGGGGAAACCCCACGACGACATGGGGAGAACATGCAAACTCCACACACATATGACCCAAGTGGAGACTCGAACCCAGGTCCCAGAGGTGTGAGGCAACAGCGCTAACCACTGCACCACCATGCCACCCCCTTGATTGTATTTATATGATATTACACAAATAAAGAGGAGTTCTTCATAAATGCTTAAGTTTGTTATTAAGAGTAAAGAATATTTAGATTTTAATGACCGCAATGAATAAATTCTAATCAATGCACTGATAAATGCAGATGATTATTGCTCAGCTATTTATCAGTGATATGGACAATTTGATTCATTTTTATTAGTGCTGTTTATGCATTTTGATGTTTCTGTTCATTCGTATTAACTCAAGAATTCAAGAGTTTAAGTTTTAATTCATTCACTTGTTTTCTATTTGAATCTACTCATATTTACTTCATAGTTATAAAATGTCTTATTTTATTTATTTTTACTTAAAACCATACATAGTTATATTTAATTAATTATATCGTTTGTAATCTGTTGCCTTAATTTTATTAATTAGATGTGGTGTATCCTTTTTTACAGTGCAGGGTGAGTGTGACCCCTGAGCATTTTGATTGGAAATCAATTGAATATAATTTGTGTGATCTTGACAGTGGACATTGGCCCTAGTAAGTTATAACACATAATCAACACAAATACTACTATGATGTGTTGTAGGAAAGGGAAATCAACTAATCCAGATATGATACTGTATAATGTCATTGTGTATCTGCTCACATGGAGACACTTCCTTTTTACGGCAGTAATTTTCATTTTTAAACATCTTGTAAACATGACTGAACTTTGTTCTGTTCTTGCTTATAATGTTGAAACGTGTGATGGTATTATTATAGGTGGGGCATAATTACTTTTGGTTTGTGGCTCCATTATAGTGCAACCAGTAAATGAGGGAGAGATTTAAGTGAAAAAGGGTCAACAAACCTGCAATGAGTATGAAACAGTATGACTATATGTGTGACTAGAGTATAGTTGTATGTGTGTGTGTGTGTGTGTGTGTGTGTGTGTGTGTGTGTGGTAATTTGTCCTGCGGGTAACTGGCATCCTGCCCAGGGTGTACCTCAGCCTTGTGCCCAGCGGCGGGAGCCGACACCCTGGGACACAAACATAGGTGCAGGATGGGTAACAGGTGTGGCTGCAGACAGGCTGGTTGGATAAAACTAAGGAAAGACACTAAAAGCCATGAACAGGGTCAAATTTATACAAATCAGGACAACAACAACATACAACAGTAATAATCAATACAAGGCAGTGTGTGCTGGGAATACAGGAGGAGAGTGTGATACAAAAACCAGCCGGCAATTAAGAACCAGACAAAAACAAAAATCACCAAACGAGAATCACAGGTTAATCAGCTTAACCAGTCCAAAGAAACACAGTCAGGCTACTTGCTGTCTCTTAAGTTCCTATAGAGAATGATTGTGTGTGTGTGTGTGTGTGTGTGGGGGGGGGGGGGTCCAGACAGTGGTGAGATTTCAGCTTAATTAGGTACCAATCAGTCTTATAAACACTGTCCTCAAAGACTTTAAAGGACCAGGCCAATCCGTGCACTCTAATCAACCAAATATGGCCAATGCATCCCCATTAAACATCCCCAATATCCCCCGTCCCTGTTTCCCGCAATCCTGATCCTTAAACAGTGTTCAGTGGCTTGCAGAAGTATTCAGTCCCGTTGAAAGTCAATTGTCTGTAATACATACATATACACAGTTTTCTCAGACAATATTTCGTTCTTTTGCTCCAGTACATTTTCAAGCACCAAAGTAGGTCAGTTGTCTACTAACATTTAAAAATAAAAATAAAAATGTGATATGTGCTGTTTGCATAAGTAAGTATTCAAACCCCTGTCCTTTGGAAGCTCAAGGTTTACACAAATTACAAATTAATCACAAACGACACAAAGGTGACAGTTATTACACCATAATTAAACATAATTAGGTGCTACTTATATTTATACATTTACCTCAGAGGTCGGAACTTGGAACTAGGAATGATGTCACACACGGATTAAACCTAGTCCAGTACAACAAGTCGGATAACCGTTTAGCAAAACCAGGGACCTGTTTCAAAAAGCAAGATTTCTTGCTTAACTGGACAACTTGTAAGATTTAAGGTACATCAGTTTAAATGGGCCTTACCTTTGTTCATTTAAATTTAGCCGGGACTACCTTAAATCCAACAAATTATCCGACTGTTGTTAGCCATTGTTAGCATTATCTGTTGATAACAACACATTATATAAAACTCATAAAACTCCATAACACCATGTCCATGAATAGCAGTTGGAAAAATATCAAAGAGTTTGAATGTCCCATTAAACACTGTTGGATCCATCATCTGAAAGTGGAAAGTTCATCACAGCACCCAGACTCTTACTAGAACAGGCTGCTCCTCGAAACTAAGCATCAGAGAAAGAGATGAGAGTGATGAGACTGATGAGAGAAGGCTACTAAAAATCTAACCTTCACTCTCAGAAGTCTGCAATGCTCTTTGGCTGAAATCGGAGTGAAAGTACATGGGTCCATAATTTCATGAACTCTCCATAAAACAGGCCTCTACAGCAGGGAACAGCAAGAAAGAAGCCATTCCTTAAGAAGATCCACTTAAAAGTATATATTACATTTGATACAAAGCATGAGAAAGACCCAGTTATGATGTGGGAGAAGGTTTTATGGTCAGATGAGACCAAAATAGAACTTTTTTGCCAGACTTCAAAGAGGCATGTGTGGTGTTAAACTAACACTGACAGGCCTGTAGAAACACCATACCTACAGTGAAATATGGGGGTGGCAGCATTATGTTGTGGGGATGCTTTTCATGTGCTGGGACTGGGAATCTTGTCAGAGTTGAAGGGACAATGGATGGACACAAATACCACAGAATATTGCAGGACAACTTGTTCCAGTCTGCTATGAACCAATGGTTTGGGAAAAGATTCATCTTTCAACATGACAATGGCCCTAAGCATGAGGCCAAAGCGACACTGGAATCGCTCAAAAACAGAAAGGTGAATGTGCTGGAATGGCTGAGTCGCAGCCCTGATCTTAACCCTATTGAGAATCTGTGGCACTATTAGAAAACTGCTATCCAGAGGTGTTGTCCCACTAACCCCGAGGATCTCTATAAATTCTTCCAAGAAGGATGGGGAAGAATCACTCCTGCACAATGTGGTACATACTCACTCCAATAGAATGAATGCTGTTATTGCAGCAAAAGGGTTCTTGACAAAATTTTCATGCGTAGGGGTTTCACTCATGCTACCACTAAATTCTTAGTTTTCTTCTTCAGTTAGATAGCTACAGAAAATGCTTTATTTTGACTGTGGAAATGTTACAGCATATGAATTTACAATAAAAATACTGAATGGACAAATATGTGTAAAAATCTTTCGTCATGCAGAAAATTATGATGCCTTTCAAGGGGGTTGAATACTGTTGCAAGCCACTGTACTGTATATATGGGTCTTTCTCCATTTTGAGTTGGAATGCATGTCACAGAGGTTTGCTGGCCTTAAAAGGCACTTAAAATATTACACACAGCTCAAAGCCTCAGTATGTACATTCATGCAGGTGATGCATGATTAAATAACACATTTTCCTCATGATTTGTTTGGTATTTCTATTCTTTTTTTATCATATTTCACAGCAGCTGGTCACACCATCAACATTAAAAGTCTGAGAAACCACTATTAATATAAAACAATATTTTTAAAAAGGTATAACATCAAATTATGTAAGAGTTCAATTTTTCGTATATGCATCATTTACATTATGCTACATTAAAAATGTTATTTATTTTAAAAATACGTTTTTTACAGAGATTTTGGCCACTGATGTTATTGGGACTCATTACATTCTAACATAGTGGTTCTTGTCCCTTTTAAACTGCTTCCTTTGCATGTGTAACCCCTCATGTGTCTGCGTTGTGGTTTTCACTTAAAGAACGAAGGGACGTGGGGCCATGCAGCGGTTTTATTCACCTGGCACGAATAACACAAGGTTGGGAGTCCGCAGGGCGGCACAGCTTGGAATACATAAGCAATGCGCCGGCTTAATCTCCAAAACTGAGCCATATTTATGAATAAAATAAAATACAAAATGAACATAGGAAAGTGCATGATATGTACCTGGCACGAATAACACAAGGTTGGGAGTCCGCAGGGCGGCACAGCTTGGAATACATAAGCAATGCTAGTATGGGGAGAGACGGAATGTTAGCTATTTTCACGTGTGGTTTCAAAACTTCGATGAAAATCCACTCAAAACTACATAAACACAACACAAAGTACACCGACAACATCTACAAGGAGGGAGATGCAATCTCTGTCAATCAATATTGATTTGGAATGTTCACTGGAGCATAAATAATTAATTACATCGGAGCGCTATTGACATAGAACTTACCGCTGGCTTAATCTCCAAAACTGTGAGAGAGCCAAGCAGTTCTACCTGAGCTACCACTAGAGGCCAGTATTTAACCACTATACGATTAGTATATATGGGAAAAGCTGGCTCACACAGGAGTGCAAGTGGAAACAGCAAAATGTACACTGTTACACATGGTCAGGGGTCAACATAGAGAAGGCATCTGGAGGAATGCTCATTTGATTTAATTGATATTTTTATTGATAATTTATTGATATTATTTATTGATAATTTTGTTTCTCGGGCGTCGCATAACTTTTATACGTCCGTGTAAGGACTGGGTAATTTAATTTTTGTTAAAATAATACCATATAATCTGATCGTTGCACGAGTTCACTTTACTCTCCATGGTCCAGCAATTATAAAATTGTTACAGTCACTGGTGTTACACTATATCTGAGACTAATGTTAATGTCTCGAATTATCGGACCATTTAAAAGCTAATAATATGGAAATTATGTTTGTTAAAAGGTGAGCTTCTGGAATGGAAATTGCCAATGTTTGAACTACTACTTTCTTTGTATTTTTTTTTTATACCTTATAACGAAGTTTTCATTGAAGTTAACAATCAGCCACTTAACCGTGACTTGATCAGGGAAAAAACAACAATGCGATCCACCCTTTGCCGGAGTTCAGGTGTTTTGGGCGTGTTTTAACTATACTGGTGTAAAGTGAAATTGAAAGTATGGCCAGAAGACGGCATTTCCTGGAGATATTTAACTGCGTTAATTAAAGCGAATATAGACTTTTTATAGAAACGCTTATTTGTATAAGAATAAAGGTGGCGATGCAGATCAGAAGTTTCAGCGTCATTTTGATCTCGTTAAAGTTCGTCATTAACTCTGATGGTATGTACATTTTGAAGACAGTTTTATGTGTCTGATACCTCGTATAATAATTTCGAAGAAATATAATTGAGTTATTCTTGTTCTGGGTGTAGCCTACTGATTAATGTACTAGTATTTTCTTACCAAATATTCAACTAACTGTATTATGTAATGCTTTGTCGTCATGAAGAGATTTTATATCTCTTATCCCTGTGGTAGGTTTCCTGCTACACGGCTCTGCTGGTCCTCTAACAGCCCAGCTGGGAGGAGCTGTACTGCTGCCCTGCTTTGTGGACAGACCCCTGCCTTTGGAGGAGCTGGAGGTGGACTGGAGAAGGACTGATTCAGACACCATCGTGCACCTATTCCAGGGGGGTCAGAGCAGACCTGAATCACAGGGGGACGCCTACAGGGACAGAGCCCACTTCTTCTCTCAGGAAATCCCCAAAGGCAACTTCTCTCTGCTGCTTGACGGTGTGAGGACTGCAGATGCAGGAGTGTATGAGTGTGTGGTTTATACAGAGCAGGAGCACCATGAAACACGGGTGGAAATACAGGAATTAGGCAAGTGAGACTTTCTGTTTTATGGCTTAAGACACATGGACTTGTATTATTATTTTAATTGATAATATGTTGGTGCATGTGGAGTTGGGCTGGGAAAATCTTTTAAAATAGGTATTTGAATTTAAATAATATAACAGACTTAAGACTGGAAAAAACTGGAATATTAATGATACCAAGGTTATAGGAGACAGTTTCATATGGGGGGACCTAATAATTTAAATGCAAAGGTATTTTTGGAGAGGACTAATGAAATCCAAAAACAGATATTGGGGGGCGGGGGTATACATCACCCCCATCCTTCCTGGTTCCTACGCCCCTGAAGTATAAAATTATAGAGGAGTGTAACATTTCATACTACCAATCGAAATGTGTTACCGTTGGGTCCTGCACAGGTGCACAATGAAATTACGTCCTTTTTGTGCTTGAAGAGCCACTCATCAAGCTGTTGTACCTCGTTGGAGTTAGACCTGCATGAGTCTTGCATAATTTATCTAATTTATGCACTTTTTGGTTCATACGTATTATTTTTTTTTAAAGCATTTATCAGTTTACTATCAGTATCACACTGATTTATTATCAGTGTTTTGTATGTTGTATATCTGTGGGGTAGGAGTCTAATGTATGGAAGTAAATCTGTCTCATCACAATTTGAATTTTATATGCCACTGAAATTCTAACATTGAATATTTATGCATTGGAAATATGCATCAGATTTTCTTTTGTCTCTGAACAATTTTCTATTTTGTGTCTGCAAATTTTCTATAATGCAGTTTCACTGCTACTTTTCCATGTTCACAAATTCACAATAAAACAAATTCAGGGTTTAAAGATACAAATTACAAAAAAGTCAAGTTTCAAAAATTCGAAGAGAACATTTCAAAGTTGCTTCAATTCGATGGTCCGAACTCACATTCAAAAATATGAGGTTAAAAATATGAGTTATACACCCGGAATACCAAGGCTAAGCAATCGAATCTGTGGCTGCGTTCGACTTGGGCTTAGGTCTGTCTGCGGCTGACGTAACATGGAGCGAGATCTGCCGGCGGCTGCTGGGGTGGAGTATAAACTGACTGACTGACTGCAACCTACACAGTGCAATTCCCAAACTCTTAAAATGATGTTGAATAACAACTTACGAACATTTCAAATTACGAACGGCTGTTCAGAACGTATCTCATTCATAAGTTGAGGAGCATCTGTATTAACAAGAAAAATTAACTGGTATAGGAATATTATCATAACAAAAGGGCAGGGGAATGGTGTTCAGTTGATGTGTGTGTGTGTGTGTGTGTGTGTGTGTGTGTGTGTGTGTGTGTGTGTGTGTGTGCGTATTGTATCAGTTCAGTGTCTCAGTGTTAAAGAGTCTGATGGCCAGTTTGGTCAGTTTCCATTCTCGTCTGTATGAGGTTGTGACATGAAATATTGTACACTCGCTGTCTCTACAGCGAGTTGCTAATTTTCACTGTATGTTGTTAGATATCTGGTAGTAGTTAGTATTTCGTAATTAGGCTTCACAATATTGGAAACGATTCATTTCTGCAATAAGTATTACATTATTTATAAAGAAAAAATTAGTTCATAATAAATCAATTTCTCACAAACATGTCTATTTATGAGTGATTTAAACAGCAAGGATGAAAATGATTAGGATTGGCTCTGAGAGTGCATGCAGAGATGTTGCAAAAGTAGCAGTAAACTTCAAACTAATGTTAAACATATACTAGATAATTCTGAAAAGGAGCAGTCATTAAAATTGCACAGCTTGCTAAGTTTTGTTTCCCATAACAATATAAATGTTGTAGCAAAACATAAACCCCATGCACTCTGCGAATTTTATCACCAAGATTTAGAAATACTGTTACTGTATTGAAAAATAACGTTGTTGATGAAATCAGGCAAGTCAGAATTTCAAGTACGAGTTTCATTGTACTTTGTACACATGACACTGCTTTTTATATACAGTTGTTCTGGACATCTAACTGTACCGTATGTAAACGCACCATCCTGTGACAAAAGGTGACCACACTGCCACCCCAATTTTTGATGGCACTGCAACTCGCAGATGTGTGGCATTAATTCCTCGCATAGGTGCACAGACGACGCAGGGAATCTACGCGTGGCACCATGATGCACAGGGTCTCGTGAACCTACACAGTGCAATTCCCAAACTCATGCAGCTGCTCACGGTGCTTTCAGTAGTCCTTCTGTAGAAATATTGTGAAGATGCTGGGTAGGAGATGGGATTTCCTCAGGCTTTGAAGGAAGTAGAGATGCTGCTGGACTTTCTTGTATATGGAGCTGGTGTTGAGGGACCAGGTGAGGTTCTCTGCCAGGTAAACACCAAGGAATTTAGTACTCTTGACACAGATGAGCCGTTGATCTTCAGCGGAGAGTGGTCGTTCCTAGTTCTTCTTACAGTAAGTCAACAACCATCTCTTTTGTTTTGTCCATGTTCAGAGACCGATTGTTGCCTCTGCACCAGTCAGGTAACCACTGCACCCTCTCTTGGTATGCTCAGTCTGTCGAGATGAGCTACCTACTCTAGAGGCCAAAATTGTGGAAACACTTCCAATTTTTAGAAATTGCACAACTTTATTCAGCTGTTGCTCCAGTTATTTATTTAATAGTCAATGTATATTTCTAAACATTCTTTGATCGATTATAGAAATTTTTGCCAACATTCGTATAGTGATTTAATAAAGTGTAAAGCCAAATATGCTTGGTGTTTCCACAATTTTGGCCACTAGTGTACAGTATGTATAAATGTAGGACCAGTGCTGTGCATGAATACCATTCATTGAACTTGCTTATATTTTCGGTGAACGGTGAACTGAATGAATCAGTTTGCAATCAGTGAACATGAGTGTCATTTACTCATGAACAACACTCATGCGCCAGAAATAGAAATTGCCACTACCCAGTCCATACCACCTACCCAGTTTGTTCATTGTATGTTTATGCATGGAATTTTTTTCAAGCATATCCATTTTCTGGCATGTGTCCATTTTTTTACAAAGCTGTTCTTGCCAAAACAACTTTTGCAAGGATAACAATGTAATTTCTTTCTCTACACATTATATGCCACAAGTGAATCCCATGAGTTTATGGGTGTTTCTCAATACCAAGAATGCAAAGATCATACTTGTGGTGTCGGTAACACCAGTCTTCTGTACTTCTGTACTTGATGACATAAAACAGGTACATAAGAACACAAGCATGATCAAGTATGCATACTGAGAAACATCCTATGTTGCTAAATGCAGTTTTACTTGATATAGTACCGTGTACTTACAGAGTCAAAGAGTTATATGTTGTTTATTTGATTACAAACAAAATGCAGTTTCTCTTAATTTGAGAAAATTCAGTTATTGGGGAATAAAACAATCAGACATTGTTCATTTGATTACAAATAGCTGCCCAAGCGATGTTTTAAGAACATAAGAA